AGTGGTTAGGTATTTCAAATCATATGTATATAAAATTGTTCATTACATCATCATTGGTCCATTTAATATACAAAGATCTTTTTAATATAAAATAGTCGCTACATGCAATTATAGCAAAGTGTTCAAATCATCCCACTCTTATACATTGAGATCATTATTGTCCTTTATATATCATGTGAATAGTGCTCTATATCATAACAAGAAAAAAAAAACTTCATAACAATAACTATAACTTTCTATTACTACATAAGTAAACAGTTTCATTCCCAGGTTTTTTTATCTAACCATTGGTAAAACAAGTCCCATACTTTATAAAATTGCTCGTCCTCTCGTTCTCTAATTTCAAATGTAAGCTTACTCATTCCGGCACATTCCATTATTTTCCGGATAGTTTCCTCCTGGGATGGCACTTTCTCGTTTTTTCCAGTTTTTGGCAAACACAATTCTAGCCGCCCTGCTGAGTTTTACGTAAGTTTCTCTTCAGCCAGAAGTTCATCTCTGCTGCCATCTAGTGGATAATGTTTTCCTAAAAAATCAGATTTCCCCATGGAAACGAGAGAGAGGATGGAAACTTGAGAGGGCTGAGAGCATAAAAGCCACCTGCAAAGTCCCCTTATGGCGTTTGCTTGCAGATGTCCTTGATGAGCCACGGTGGCCTAGTGGTTGGAGTGCAGCCCTGCAGGCGACTTCTGCTGACAGCCGGCTGAAGGCAATTTGGCAGTTTGAATGTCGCCAGGCTCAAGACTGACTCAGCCTTCCGAGGTGGGTCAAGTGAGGACCCAGATTGTTGGGGTTTGCAAGAGGCTGACTCTGTTCACCGCTTAGAGAGGGCTGTAAAGCACTATAAAGCGGTATATAAGTGCTATTGCTATGAGGAAGGCTCCTCCCCCAGGGTCTTCTCTGGGCCTATTGACGTTTTCCCCGTAAGATTAGGAGACGGTTGCCAGTTTCCGTCACTGCCCTCCATTGGGCCCTGTTCCCCTGTGCGATTCATCCCATGGGGACACCTAGCTGGCCGTTCTGGAGCTCTGGAGAGCAGACCAGGAGGCCTTTGGCCTGATCCACCAGGGCTGCTCTTCTTCCCACCAGAGATTCAGCCCGTTTGCTGGTCTTCTTCAGGGGCCAAGGAGTCCCAGGAGCTTTGCCCCTTCTGAACCACCCCCTGAGGTTGAGCAATGTCCCGATTGTCAGCTGAGGCCTTTAATGGAGGGGCAGCAGCTGGCAGCCGGTTGTGCTGTGGGATCAGCTCCCCCCCAGATCCTTCAGACATTCCTCCCCAAAAGCAAGCCAGGGCTCACTTTTTCCGGGCATCCGGTGTCCACAGATGTTACCGGAAACATCGCCCCGCAGAGCTCCTTGGAGCTTAAAGAGGAGAGGAAACGTTTGTGTCAGTTGGAAGACTAGAAGAGGGAGCTTCCAGAACCTTCAGCCCATCATTCTTTCCTTCTGAAGGGGAAGTTGAGCCTTTTCAAGACTGCAGTCATACATTCGTGCGGTGCATCATACTTGCTGGCATTTCTGGCACCGGAGGTGGGTGGCTTTTGTACCCCTAGTGGGGCTGTTTCTAAGCCGGCTCATCGGTTTACCCTGGAGGAAGATCTGGAGGTGTGAGTGGCCGTGGTGGGCCTGGTGGAAGAGCTGACGTCGGAGGGACGGCAGACGCGGCACAAAGGCTCCCCGGAAGCCTTGCACCAGCATCCTGATCGTCCACCCTTCTTTCTAGGATTGTTTAGAGCCGAGGTGACGCAGTGGTTAAATGCAGCACTGCAGGCCACTTCAGCTGACTGCAGTTCGGCTGTTCAAATCTCACCGGCTCAAGGTTGACTCAGCCTTCCATCCTT